CTCACACACACACACACACACACACACACACTGCACAGACACCAGCCGCTCTGTCAACATGTTTCTGCTCGGATTCAGCCTGTGCCTGGCCATCGTCCAAGGAATTGTCCCCGAGATATCTAAAACAGACATGGACATCATTGCAAACATGGAAACAAATGTAGAAGAAGGACAAACGACACTGAGCGATATGTTCAGAGAGGTGGAGGAACTGATGGAGGACACGCAGCAGAAGCTGGAGGACGCGGTGCATCAGGTTTTTGCTTTAAAATACAGCCCAATTATTGTTCTTCACTAGTGAATCTCTCTCAGAGTACATCTGGGGAATGATTTTAAACATCTCTCATAACTAATAGCTTTTGACTTTTAATAATAGCATCATTGGCTGCAGCACATGCCAAATCTGAGCAGAGTTTTCCTAAAAATGATCCATCACAGCTTAATTAGATAGTATGGACATGATATGAGATATTAGAAAGCAGAGTGAAATTTTCATATAAACTGAGACTGACTAATATTGTTATGACCAATAAGGATTATTTTCATAATCTTAAACTACACTTTTTCATACTGTTTTACCTGTGAATACCATTGTTAGGTGTTATTCTTCAGAGATCTCCCAAATTTGCCATTGTTCATCAACTTATATTTATATATATGTATATAAAAAAACTGATGACCATGAAGTGAATATAAATATACATATTGGTTAAATTGATTATCAGTCTATCTTATAGACCTTTTACCTCTTTACACAAAAATAAATAGTCAGGTAAAATCGGTATGTGCTTAATGTGGTAAAATCCAAAGTGGTTTAAAAAATATAATTTAATATTACTGATTAAACCTTTAGACAGTTCCCAATGTGAGGGAACTCATTATGAAGTTTCACATTATAAAGAATTATAAAGTTGTGCAAATCATAAAATATTTTAGTTATATATGCCCAGAACTAAAAAGTTTAATTGGTAAGAAATTGCTCTTTGTGAGGACAGTCTATACGATTATTTTTTAAATCCCACTTACCCAGTTATCAAGAACTGAAAAAGTTATGGAAATTCATTGGTCACCAGTTGTGGAAACCTTTACATCAATGAAAGTGATTTTTAAGGGTCACTTAATGTAGAAATAGCTCATTTGATAGCTGGGAAATTGTACTTATTTCAGCGTTTTCCTTTTTTTTTTTTTTCTCAGATGGACAATGAGACAGCAAAATCCAGCCTCCATCCACACAGTGTCTCTTCAAATCTCCAAAATTACAGCAGTAATGAAATCATAGCTGGGAATCAATCCATTTATACTGCTGAGAGAATCAATAAGGTGGGTAAAGAGCTTTTGTCTGGTTCAGTAAGGCAGTTTAAATACAGTTCTGTCAGGACCACTATCGTCAAAGATGATTGACAATTAGCATACAGTTTGGATTGGCGGTATGGTTCCGTTCTGGGCAAGAACTCCCTGCACATCCATGCAGCCTAGCATGGATGAGAGCAGGGAGAGCAGCGATAACCCCCCCCCAGGGTAAACAGAACAGAAC